TTGTAGTCTCCGTACTGTTCGTACCTTTTGTACGCCTGATTCCGTTGCGACGTAGTTTTCTCCGGTTTCGGAAACTTTTCCGAGCCAGATGCATTTCTGCATCCGTAGGTCTGCTTTTGGAAGTTTCTTGTGTTGTGGTGGAAGGTAAAGTAGTGTCTCGCCAAATTCGCAGATTGCTCGCTCGTAGTTTCTTCCCCAGCGGCGTTCAAAGCTTGTGTAGCCGTCTGAGTGAATGACGTAGCGATTTACCGTCCATGCTGCATGTCGTACTATCCAAGGTAGTAGACAGTGCTTTGTGGACATCGTCATGCTGTAGTTGCTTTCAACCTGAGCTTTGACGACGCGGATTTGTCCGAGAAGTGTTCTATGTAGTCGCTCAACGCTTCCTTGACTGTTGCTGCTGTAGGAAGGTGAATGTCGTACACTCATTGTGCCGACTTTTGCTGCTGTAGCTTTTAGAAGTGCGTTGAGTGTGTCTTCGTTGTCGCTTTGTAGTATGCCTTGTGTTCTTCCGCACTCAAAGATGAATGCTTGTAGGTTGTTGACCATGTAGTCCATCATTGATGATTTGTCTGGAACCAATACTGCCATACACAGTTGTGTAGTAACATCAACTGCTGTCAGTACCGGTGTGGTCTTTGGGTCTTGTTGTGACTTGATGTAGGCAAAGTCTACTTGAATGACAGGTTGTCGTGATTGTTGTTTCTTGTAGTTGTCTTGGCGTCCTTTGCCTTGAACGCAAATTGGACACCAGTTTCTGTATGGTAGATGTGTAAGGTTGTGTTCTGCTATTTGTTGTGGAGTGGGCTGCTGTGGTTGTCGTAGTCCTCTTGCTCTGTGTGCTTCATGATGCTCGTGTTGTTGTTCTTCATCGTGGTTCTCCTGGATGTACTCGTAGTCTTTCTTCACGGTAAACCTTGTTGTTCCTTTCCATTGAAATGGTAGTGCTGCGTTGCCCATGACTGTCCAGTCATCTTTGCGTTGTGAAACTTCTCCAAAGTTGTTGTGAGTGATTGTAGTTCTGTGAGGTTCAAGTGTGTTGATTGGTGGATGTCCTGGTCCATCTGTTGGAGTGAAGAGAGTTGTTCTAAGCGTTGTGTGGTGTCGTATCCAATGTTCACCTTGTCTTTCCCAGTAGTCTTGGTTGTCCTCCTGTGCTGTGAGTGGTCTGTGTATTGTCTCCTTTGGTTGTGTGGTGTCAAGATTTGTAGAAGGTGCTGCTTTGGGTCTCCATATCTTTTGTGGTGCTCGTAGTTGGATCTTTGATCTGGTTGGTGGTGTGTCCATTAGCCGTTGTGGTTGTGAGCTCTGCCTTGTTGGTGTGGTCTTTGATGTTGCTCTGCGTGTAGGTGTTATCTTTCTTCTGAATCTGGTTTCTCCAGTCCAGTTGTCACCTTCTAGTCTTCGTTGTAGTTCTTGCTTGGAAAGTTGTGTTGGGTTCTCTTGTAGTTGTTCTTGCTCTTGCCCTTGTCTGTTGATGATGGTTAGTCGCCAATCATCTAGTTCTCCTTCTGGTATTGGGCAGCCACTGTTGTGTGGTGTGAACAGTGCTTTGCGTGGTCGTTTGTGTACTCTGATGGCGTAGTCACCATCAAGTTTCCAGTAGTCAGTGTTTCCACCAAGGATCTGTCGTAGTCCTTGGTCTGTGTGTGTGAGTGGTGCGATTTGTTCTTGTTGTTGTACTGCTTTCTCTGTAGGTTGAATCACAGCAATGGATTTTCCATTGTCTGTAGTCATTGGGTAGATGTCGAATCCTGTAGGGATGTCGATCTTCTCTGCTCGTAGGTAGAAAAGTCCTGAGTGTCTTATGAGGTGTGCTTGTTGTTGTCCATGTGTGATGGTGCAGTGTCGTGGAGTGAAGTCAAGTCCATATCCTCTATCAAGTAGTCTTGATGCGCTGAGGATTGGATACTTCACATCACAAACGTAGTAGGGTATCATGATCCTGAAGTTGTCCTGCTTGTAGGGAACGTACTTGATGCCGTAGACTGGAATCTTCTTGTTGGTCACCGTGTAGAGTTGTGGAACTGATTCTCCACAGGGTCGTAGTGGAAGATCCGGTGCGTAGTCCTTTGGGCAAACATGTGTAGATGCTCCTGAGTCGATCAACAGGTGGTGGTATGACTTGAAGTTGGAGTACATGATGTAGTGGGTGATAGTGTCCTCAATCTTCTTGTTCCTTTGTTGTTGTCTTGCTGCTGCTATGTCGAAGTGTAGCTTTGTGGTGTCTTCTTGTAGGAATTGTTGAAAGCTCTTGCTGTGGTCGTTCCATGATGTTGTGTGTGTTGTTCTCTTGCCAAGTAGTGATTTGGATTTGTGCTTGTGTAGTCGTGATTTTGCTTGTCTGATGTGTCCAATGGTGAGGTGTGACTCGTTGATGCCTCCAATGTAGTTCGCTGTGTCCTCATAGCTGTTGTCATTCCAATCCCAGCTGTTGTCATAGTCGTAGTCGTTCCAGTTCTCCTCCATGTAGTTCACCTCATGTTGTCCTTCTTCTCCTTCGTAGTACCAGTCCCAAGTGTCGTTCACATCCTGAGGTAGTTCATCATTGTTGTCGTGATCTGCTTGTTCTTGTTCTAGTGGATGTAGTTCTTCTCCTTCTCCTATGTGCCATACCGGCACTCTGCAGTCTTGTGCCCAGTGGCCGGGCTTGCCACATCGATGGCATGTTGTGTAGTTGTTGTTTCCTTTTCCTTTCGATTTGCTGTAGTTTCCTTGGCCTTTGTAGCCTTTGCTTGATCCATATCCTTTGGATCCTGAGTAGCCTTTTCCTTTGCTCTTGTTGTATCCTCCTTTGTTGTAGTTTCCTTTGCTGCCTTTGTCGAATCCTTTGTAGTGTCCTTTACTCCTGTACTTGCCTTTGCTCTTGCTTCCTTTGTAGCCGCCTTTTCCTTTTCCTTTGCCTTTGTAGCTTCTTCCTTTCCTCCATATGTTGTCAACATCCATTGGTGCAGTTCCTCCATTGTAGTTTGTTCCTACTGCTGAAGTAGATCTAGTGAAGGCTGAAATCGTTTTGTAGTAGTCCAGGATGAGTGCTCTGATCTCGATGTAGTTCGTGATCTGTCCAGCTCGCAGTTGGAGGTGTTGCTGCAGTGCTCCTTTGGTTTTGTTGAGTAGTATTGCTATTTTGATTCCATCTGGTAGTGCTGTTCCATTGTCTTTCTCGTAGCGGTTGATGTCGTATTCCCATTGTAGAAATTGTTCTTCAAACTGCGCTTCGTTGAATGTGGGTTCCAGTAGTTTGGTAAGGTAACCAACGCTCCTTGTTCCTACTGGTAGGCTGAACCTGTTGTGTAGTAGTCGTAGTGTTTCACATCCGTTTGCGTTGTAGCGGTTTTGCCTTACTACTGTAGCTGCTGCTCCCTGACAGATGTTGATGAGGATGTAGTGTAGATCTCTGGAGAGGTCTACTGCTTTGCTTGCTTGTGTAGGGTCGAGTATGTGTGTTCTGATGTCTGTGTCCTCAATCTGTCGTGTGGCCACTTGTGCTAGTTGTAGCACCAGGTCGAAGTCTCGGTCTATGAGGCCGAGGTATGCGTGTAGCTTGAACAGCCATTCTTCATACTGGGAGTAGTCACCAGTGAAGAAGGGTGGTGGCAGTTTGTATCTATGTAGTCTCTGAACGTCGTTGTCTTGTTCTGTTCCTGCTCCCGTAGTCGTGGCTCCTACTGTGTCTGCTGTTGGCCCGTTCTCTGCTCCTGTAGTTTGTTGTGCTGAGGCTGATGCTGCTTCTCCTGACATGTCGTAGTAGTTTGGCATGTAGCTGCTGTTGCTGTGGTTGTAGTACTTACTGCTTACTGGAGCTCCCCTATGTTTAGGATCTCAGCTCCGCTACCACGTTAAAATCGGTTGTTACTTTGCTTACAAGTGCAAGTGCTGTAGTGTTCAAACAAACAGTCAACCAATGTAGTCTGCAGCTGCCAACCTTTTGACTCATGCGGAGTAGTAAGCTCAAGGCCTGCGGTAGTGAACATACATGCAACAAGAGTGCAAAGTGAAGCATGTAGTTTGACATGTGCCAAAACAACATGGTCTTGATGCAATTTTAATCCCAATCATCTCATCTTTTTTCTCTTTCTGTGCCATTGAAATCCCACTCATCCCATGCGTTGATAGATCTTGGTCCCTCTTGGTCCCTCTTCCCATGGCCCCACCGTTCGGCTGCACACGCTGAGCATCTGCTTGCCGCGTCACGGCCGAACTGGTCCACCAGCTGCCGCTCCCCCGAGGCGCTGCGGCGCAGCCGGATCTGGGGCAAGGCTTCAGACGGCCTGGGATCCGGAACCCGCATCGGACATGCGACGTGCGATCGCTTGAGATCGCGATGGGAAGGAGACATGGACTGAAACGTTTTTGGGATTCCCGTTCAAAAGAAGAAGAAAAGAAACACAAGTTGGAAGGTTTTTCTCTGGGTCATTTCATTTCTCATTCCCGGCTGAGAACCAGCAAGAAAAGGGACCCCAACAAAGACCCCCAACCCTTAGAGGGACTCTTTCATAAGATGTTGCCACTGATCTGCACATCTGCTCCCTCTTGTAATACCTTTGCTCCCCCCAAAAACCAAAAGCTGCGTCCAGGGATGGAAGGGCTTAAAAAAGGTTTCAGCCATACCCGCAGGTCATTTCCGTCCAAGCCACCCCAGGAGCAGGGCCAGCAAGACACACGCAGCCATGGCAACGGATTATGATGGCCAGATGCGAGACATGGGAAGTGCTACTCGATTGGGCTGCCACTTGTAATATATGTGACCTGGTGATTGTCACGTTGGCTGTCACTTGTAGTACTTCTGACTCTACGTGAAGACCTTGAGAAGCTGACGATGATCAGCTAAGAAGCTGAGGAGCTTTTTTGCCAGAGTCATGTGCCAGTCAACACATCACTTTCACTCTGTATTCTGCTATGGATCGACTACACTCTACTTGATCTCTTTTCTGCTCCACCCCAACCGAACCCCGCCCCGACACAAGCGCTGCTTGGAAGCGGAAGGACGGACAAGCCGCCTGGGAGTCAAACACCCCTGCCAGCTCGATGTCAAACTGCGAGAGGAACGCAGACCTTGGCTTACCATTCCATGCAGCTGTGGGTCAAATCCAAATGGTACCAGTGAACATCCCAATCCAACCACTAAAATAGGTTCTAAAATGGGTGGTGAATTCACCTACCAACCAACATGGTACCATTGGTGTTGACCCACGGCCATGTCAATCTCGCCGGAGTCCTCAGTCAAACCCAACTCCGCCTTTACACCTAAGCCTCAGGACCTTCAGAAAGATTAAATATCTAGTTTGATCTGAGGAAACACTCCGGAAGATCTCTAGTTGGTATTCCTTTGCCCTCTGCTCGAGCCGGGAAGTTCTGCCTGGAATGGAACATCTGAAGTCACGATCGGCTTCTTCCTCCTCTTTCAATGGGCTTTGACTTTGAGATGCTTATGGATCATGGCTAGGTCCTCCAGTAGAGAGCTTAGAATAAGGGCACCAACTTTTTTCTGTGGTCTATTTTAGTAAGGGAAAACCCTCCCAACCCAAAAAAAGGGTGAGAAAGGGCACCACTGGGGGACCTAGCTGGCATTCTATTTGAGCTCATCCCTTTGCTTCCTTTGCCCTCAGCTCCCTGCGAGTCCTCCCGGCTGTCGTGCATCACCTGCGCTCGGGCTCCAAAGTGAGTGCCACATGGGCCGTTGATGGGAAGCTCCTCGAATTCTTGCGGGCAGCTTCTGTGAGTGCACCTTGACGTGGTCTTTTTTTTCCGATATCAGTCTTAAGGGGTTTTATCCAGACCGCGCTAATCCGAGCGGTTCTCGTTCTCGTGAAGAGTCATGTTCTCTCTGACTGGTAGGGTATACCGATTCAATTCCAAGCTAACGTTACTTCGTCTCCCTCATATTTGTGACATGCCATCTACAGAATATCCGAACATCATCCCCTTCAGAACTGCATGCTTGGGAAACGTTGGTGTGATTGCCAACCATCCTCCGCCCTGCGAAAAGGTCCACAGGGTTCTAGAAAACCGGATTTTGGGGCGTGGCTCCATTGATTTAGAGCCAAGGGGCGCCGTGAGGATATGACCCTTCCGCCTTAATAGCCCCTAGTCACTGGGCTGCAATGATTCCACTTGCTATGGGTCTGAATCAGCACATTTCAGGCCACAGAAGTCCCCTCCGTGTCTGTCAAAGGGGAAAGGGCCATGATTCAGCGGGGGGTTGCGCTTCTTCTGGTCAAACCTTGACTGATGTGTGAAACAAATCTGGAAGGGCAAGACTCAAAGCTAAGGAAGTGGTCAGAAGTCTTGGCGATAGCTTGTTGGTCGTGACCGTGTGAAAGGCAAAAAGGCACTGTAATCAGTTGGTGTAATCAGTTGGTGGGTGGCAACAACTGATTGGGGGATGTCTTGGACAACCTTGCGGGTTTTCACTGGGCTGCACCAAGCTTCAGAGGGCCTGGTGTACCCTCCCCCCCGCCTTTGTCACCGCCGTGGAAGTCAGAACCGGTCGGAGGACCTCCACCACACCCGTGCGCAAACCGTCAAAGAGGAAGACCTGTTGCAAGCACCTCACTCGCCCACGCGAGTGAGCCCAACACCACACGCGCAATTTGGCAGAGCCTTCACCTGGGTGTGGGTCAAAATTAAACCAGGATATGGACCGCAAGTGGTCCATGTTTCCACTAAAAAGTCTCAAACGTGAAGAACGGCAGTGTTGCAAATCAGTTTCATCACTCCAAGGTGAAAGACGTGGCGCGCACAGTGTCACAGACTCAACGCGTGGCATTTTGCTCTTCCAAGGCATCGATTAGATAGTTGCTTCTCTGGCAACTCTGCAACGCCTGGCTTGCACTTCTCGACTGGCCAACCGCCAGCTGTGCATTGGATTTCACGTGGCAATTTGATTCCCGAAGAACGTGCTCAGCCCTCTTAGCGAGGACTGCAAACAGCAGTCTGAAATGCACCGCTACACATAAGCGTGTCGCAGGGGAAAACTCTATGCAAACATGTCGATCCTGGGTAGACATGTCCCCGGTGCTTCCTTTGTTCATGCCATGACCAGCCTGATCAGATCTTCACAAGTTCCTGCTCTGTCGAGAATGGCTTCTGCTCCGTTGCTGTCTTTACACACTTATGCGTACATGTGTATTCCCCGCATATGCATGTTTGCAGCGCACGACCATGACATGATTGGCACCGGAGTTGTCACTGTCAACGCGTGGTGCAGTTCTGCGCTCCTGCAAAGTCCACGAATTCGGCTGTACAATACAAACGTTTGGCTCCACTGAGGAGTGGCTATATAACCTGGCGTGCAGGTACGAAAGACTCACAGCCATGCACAAAAGACTTGAACCACAATTGCGCCCTTAGGCTGCCCTTCGGCCACACACCCTGCGTTCCACACCCCCAGATACCCCACATGAGCCATGAGTTGCTTTAGCCGGCCTCCGCGGCTGCTCTGCTCTGGCAGCCAGGCGGAGCCCCTGATCGGTCGAGAAAACGCGGATCGCGTGACGCTCCCAAGACCAACGGGTCGCCGAGGTTTGCTGAGATGCTACCTCTCACCCTTGGAATCATACTGAATGACAACATGGTGTGTTCTGGAAAAAGCCCAGTTGTCATGAGTGCAGGGTAGCCAAACAAGGAACTGGAACAATAATCATCATCAGGAGACGGAGGAGCAAAAGATGCTTTGTATGTTTTCGGCGACTTCATCAGCAGTGGCACAGACAATTTGACATGGCATGTTGATAACTCCCCGCCTCGCAGAGCCATCACGCACAAACCACGGGAGCCACCATCCCGAAGTGGTCCCGAACTTCTCGCACCTGGAGGGCACATGGGTTTCCATGAGGCCAAGAAAGCCGCATGGTGGACGCATTGGTGATGCGGAGTGTCCTCGGACACCGACACCCTTGCAGGGGTATGTTCCACTATGTCTTTTTGAGGGTAGCCTTTTTGAAGGCCGGAAGCTACCCATTTGATGGAAACACACCTGTATTTCCGCTGAAGCTCAGATCTCACTAGTTGGCATCACTCCCTCGCGCCTCCGCCGCCGCCGCACACTCGGCGTTGGGCGAGGCCGAGGCCAACATGCCCAAGACCATGTCCCAGTGCGCCTTTCAAGAGCCGAGCTCTTTGATGGAACCCGAGGATCATACTGATTGTCGGGAAAACTGCGCGTAGCTTTCATGGCAATATGCGCTTATTTTGGAGCGGCCAATCCTCGATCTTATTTTATTGCAAAATCCTTGCGAGGCGATACAACTTATCCTCCAAGGGATCGAACAGAGATCCCTTTCCTGCAGTCAAGGCCCAGCAAAGCTTGCTTTGCGCAAAGCCGAGAAGTCCCCGGCTTTGAGTTCCCATTTCTCAGCCCTTGGATAAAAATCCATCTTTGGAGTGTGTGCAACCTGGGTCCTCCAGTAGTAAGGGTACCTTTTTTTCTGTAGTTTATTTTAGTAGGGGAACCCTCCCCAAAAAAAAGTTGGTACAAGGGCACTGGGGTAGGGGAACCCTCCCAAACAAAAAAGGGGTGAGCAAGGGTATAGCTGGGGGACCTAGCAAAGGAGCCCAAAAAAAGGCCCAGGGTGCCAAGATCCGATGAATTGGCCGCCTGCACCTCCTGCTTCTTCTCGGAGGCTTTGGGAGTGGCCACCAGCTGCCGCAGCGCTTCCCAGTGCATCTGGGCGGATCGAGTGCCACACCCGGATCCCGAGGCTAGGCTCCATGTCGAGGGTAAGACGAGGAAAACATTGGCGGCCTTTTGGCTACAAATAGATGGCGGAGGGCCACACCAGTTGGTCCCAAGCGAGGTCCCATGTCGAGGCTAAGGCAGGAGATCCGCAACGACATCTAATCGAGGGAACGCTACGTTTGTCGAAACCGTTTAATTGTTGCCATCGCTGAAGTGATCAGGCGTGAGAGGTCGGGCCGCAAGCCGAGATTCCAGATTCTTGCAACAAGATTTGATCGTGGAACCCATCTATTTTTAGCCAAACTAACCTAACAAGGACACCTATGACAAGGAAAATACGGGCGGAATGGAGGCACGCCCTGTCCAGAGCTGTTGCTGGATGCATTGCCACATCACCAGAATACAACACAAGAACACATCACAATGCAAAATGCGGGGTGAGAATCAAGGATATTCGTGTTGTTTAAACGCTTCAAGCGGTATTTCGGTAGGTTTAGGGCCGGATATCTTGGGGTGCAGTTTTGTGCGCTGTGGATACCGTTCATGACACATCCTGGAGCGCCTGTGTGTCGCAGCCGGCTCGAAGGCATGACATCCGGTCTCCGAAACATCTGACAAATGGGCCTCTGACGGTCGGGACATCAGGGTTCCGTGGGAGAGTGGGTATTTTTTGGACATATGCAGGGCGCATCAGGACATTAGAGATGCTGGGATGGAGCTTCTTGGAATCGTGCACAACTCAAAATCGCATCTTTTCCTTGCTGCCCAGGGAATGAGAAATGGAATAACCCCGAAATGGATATGGGTCAACAAAAGGGTAACCCCCACATGAAATCCTGTTAAATGGAAACAAGGTTTCTACAACTTGCGGTCCATATCCTGGTGGCGACTAATTTTGACCCATCAAATCAACTAGGTACATGAAACCGTGGTAAATGGGTTCCAAGGACTAAAACCTGCAACCCCATGGTGTTTTCATGTTGACCCATACCCAAATCCACCAGGCGCCGGCTTGGGGCTCGCCTCGGTTCGGCGCTGCACGTCGAGGAGGTCGTTGCACGCCACGAAGGCCATGATCTTCGGTCGAATTCGAGACCTTGGGCTACTGGTCTGGAGCTTCAAAACGAGCGCCTCCTGGCCTCGTCCTCTGTTTTTCGAAAGGTGCGCGGCCATTTGTGTGGGTTTCAAAGGGGAACCGGGAGGAAAACCATCTTATATTGGTTTGTGTTTTTTTTGTGGGGGGGTGGTCCCCAAAACAGAACACCGCATTGACATGGATCTAGGCCTACCAACATCCTCGCGCCGAAACCAAGCTCCATGGAGCACTGCTCTGGGCCCGTCTTGCAAAGGACCCAACCCTTCCCCCAATCAACTCGCCTGATTCCAGAAACAGCTGGACTCAGGCGGGCTTTTTTATCTCGCGAAGTGGAACTTGACTTGCCTTTTTATGTCACCTTCCCGTACCAAATTCCACCTTAAGATCCTCGCGAAACGAAGCTCCGGGAACCGCCTGGTCAAGGGGCCAAATGGCGGCGCACTTGTTGCGGTACGCTTGCTTCCTCTGCTGGCCCTCCCAAAGGCCCTTCAGCCCGCGGTCCAAGTTCTTGCAGGTTTTGGTGGCCAAGCGCACGTCCTGAAGGCAGCGAGGCGCGGCGAGGAGTCGGGCTGGCATGTCAAGTTGGCTCGACCTCCCGACCTTCACGGGGTTTGGACCCAACCAGACGGGGTCTGATTTGGATCTGTCGGTTGCAGCTAGGGTCACCGGTTTTGACCCTTAAATAGAAGGGGTCTCATTTTGATCTGGAGTCCATGCCCGCCTGCAGGACCTCACCCAGAATGGTGCGGCATTGCATCATCTGCCAGATGCTGGGCCCCTCCGTGCTGCGCGGATCCTGGCGACCCCCGAAGTTGGAGCGTTGAATCGCCGACGGTTTACGCCGGCGGCGAAACCTGAAGCAAACATGGTCCAAAAACAAGCCCGAAACGGACCCTTAACAAACCCGAAGCTCACATAAAGTTAACCAAACACACTGTTGCGCCAACCCCCGAGCAGCCCGAAACCAAGCCCGAATCAAGCCCTCAACCAGCCCCAGACCAAACCACAACCCTGAACAAAACCCTGAACAAACCCAAAACTAGTTTAGGGCTTATTTACGGTCCGTTTAGGTTCCGGTTGAGGTTGTTTTAGTAGTTGTTTAGGACTGGTTTAGGGTTGCTTTAGGGCCCATGGTTTCTTAGGCTCCGTTTGGGGTTGGCTTAGGTTTGCTTAGAGCTGGTTCAGATTTTGTCTCGGTTTGATTTGGGTCGGTCCAGCTCAGGGTTGGCTGACGGATTGTTTAGGGCTGGTGTTCGATTCGTTTAGGGATGTTTTCGGGAGGGTTGCGACTTTGCTGAGGGCTGGAAAGGCTGCCTAAGGCTTGTTCAGGATTGTTCTCGGGCTGGTTTAAGATTCATCAAACGCCAATGCAAAGCCAACCCCAAACTGACCGAAACCAACCATAAACCAGCCAAACCCCAAACCAACCCGAAATAACCTTAAACCCCCTTCAACCAATCCTAAACCGGCCCTAAACCAACCTTAAAAGCCCAGACAAGCCCGAAGCCAACCCCGAAGCGTCCCTAGACCAACCGTGAACCAACCATAAACAAGCCCTAAACAAAACCTACACCAAGTGGGGTTCCCACCCCAAAAAATACCGCAAGGTCAAGTGGTGCTTTGAAAATAATCATTCAGAAATCAAAACGATGTTCATGTTCACCCCATTGGGTTTCTTCTCCTGAAGTCAGAGCTCCGCTCTGCGCCGATTTGCTTAGCCATCTTGCACGCCTAAACCAATCCTGGAATCCTAACCTGGGCT